TGAGGCTTTCAGAGATGACAATGTTCACTGGCAAGATGTAACAAATCACTCGCTAACTGCACAACCTTAGACAGTGTCTCATTCTCTCTGAACCTCAGCTTCCTCATTTGTGAAATGGAGATAATGGTACTTGCCTCACACAGCGGCTAAGAGGATTTCTCATTAAAAACAATGCAGAGAGCCTGGCACATACTAACGGTTCAATAAATATTAGTTCCCCCTTAAAAGCATTACCTCTTCCTGGCAGCTAATTACTAATGACCTTCAGGGGAAACTCCCGCATTCATTCAATATCCTTTGACCTGAAGCTGGAAGTGGGAAGGAAAGGGGCGACTACTGTATGTGCATGATTTACTGTAAACCAGACTCTGTGTTCAAAATGAAAGTTGTAACTTTCCCCAGAAACCAGGTCCTTCTCGCTTCCCTGTCTGTATCGCAGAAATCCCTGGCTCCTCCCACTCCTTTCATCACTCTGTCTAGCCTGTTATCTGGTTTCCGCGAGTTTTTTTTTTTTTTTTTTTTTTTTAGATTTTATCTATTCTAGAAAGAGAAAGAACAAGCAGGGGGAGGGGCAGAGGGAGAAGCAGACTCCCCACTGAGGAGGGAGCCCAAAATGGGGCTCTGTCCCAGGACCCTGGGATCATGCCCTTAGCCAAAGGCAGATGCTTAACCAACTGAGCGACCTGGGAGCCCCTGTTTTCTAGTTTTTAAACTTTTTTGGCCGTGACACAGGATGCATAGGTGTATGGTGTGAAACAAAAGCTTCATTAAAAAATACTTGCATTGTGACATATAACGCACCTTTATATTTTCTATTTTATTTCATTTAAAAACAACAACAACACCACCACACTGGTCCATTTTTAAACTTGCCGGACATCAGGTGGAGGAGACCTGTAATAGATTGTTAGATAGGTCAGTCTGAAGCTAAGGGAGAGGACCGTGCTGGGGTATAGATTTGGAGGCTGTCCACGTAGAGGGATGGTGTTGTAACCCATGAGTACATGGGATGAGCCAGGGAGAGGGTAGTGTGGGGACACCACACCAAGTCAAGGAGAAAACTCTGGGAGCACCCGCACTGGGGGGAAGTAGAGAATCCGGATTCTCAAAAAGACAAAGAGGCAATGTTTAGAAAGATTTTTTTTTGTTTTTAGATTTTGTTTATTTATTTGACAGACAGAAATCACAAGTAGGCAGAGAGGCGGCGGGGGGTTGCGGGGAGCTGGCTCCCTGCTGAGCAGAGAGAGCCCGATGTGGGGCTCCATCCCAGGACCCTGGGATCATGACCTGAGCCGAAGGCAGAGGCTTTAACCCACTGAGCCACCCAGGCACCCCTGTTTAGAAAGATTTAAAAGGAAACAGGACAAAGTCAAGTGAAAGAGACAAAAGACATAAAGGATTTTGAGGAGTTTTTTTGAAAGCTGGGTTAGTTGGAACCACTAAGTCAATATTCATTTCATGACTCACTACTACATGGTATTGGGTAAATGCTTAAAAACACAAGAAGTTCTATCAACCTTAACTGCAAAATGTCCTTTTTAATTTTTAAATATTTTGTAATTTAAATTCAGTTAATTAACATATAACATGTTGTTTGTTTCAGGAGTATAAAATGTTCTCTTTTTTTAAAGTTTTTATTTATTTATTTGACAGAGAGAGACACAACGAGAGAGAGTGAACACAAGCAGGGGGAATAGGAGAGGGAGAAGCAGGCTTCCTGCTAAGCAGGGAAGCGGGTGTTGGTTGTATAGTGGTGAGCATAGCTGCCTTCCTGCTAACAGGGAGCCTGATGCAGGGTTCAGTCCCAGGACCCGGGATCATGACCTGAGCCAAAGGCAGACACTTAACAACTGAGCCACCCAAATGCCCCTAAAATGACCTTTTTAAACTCTCTCTTGCTATGGCTACCCTAGTGAGGGTCTCACTGTCTCTCACCTGGGCTCTTGCAAAATCCCCCTCCCCCTCAATTTTCCAGCTGCCTATCAACCTAACCCCTTCCCTGTCCTTCATACACACCCTACCTGTCCTGGCCAACAGATTTGGTTGACCAAATCTCCCAGTTCCTGCCGTGAGGTGGGGCCTCACTTCCATCTTCTAGCTCTTTCTCTGCTCACCACCAGGCACCCGCTGTGGCACCCCACACCCACAGCGCTCTCCTGATAATCCCTAATTGAAGATGGGGAGCCATTTCTTCAGGGAAGACGAACCGGTTATGGTAATCCCATTTCCCTCTGCTAAGGATGAAGATTAAGAATGGGTGTGATTCAGGGGCGCCTGGGTGGCTCAGTTGGTTGGGCGTCTACCTTTGGCTCGAGTCGTGGTCTCAGGGATTGGGATCAGGCCCCGCATCAGGCTCCCTCCTCAGCCGGGAAGCCTGCTTCTCCCTCAGCTTACCACTTTCCCTGCTTGTGTTCCCTCTCTTGCTGTGTCTCTCCCTCTCTATCAAATAAATAAATAAATAAATAAATGAACGGGTATGATTCAGTTTGGGGCATATCAGGGAAAGATTTTATATCATCATAAAGAGTGGGAGGAGAAGCAGCCACCTCCCCTTTCTTCCTGAGGCCCTGAGGGTGGGATGAGGAGCTGAGAGGAGCTACCTCCCGCTGCGGGACAGGCCATGCTGACAGGAGCATGAAGAACAGAAAGATGGGGAGTTCCTAGGCCTTTATGACATTCTTCAGCTGCTGGGCCATCCCTAAAACCACTCATCTGTGGACTTTTGGTTCAGTAAGAGAAAAACTGACCTAATGGTTTCAGCCACTTGTAGATCAGTATTCCATTACTTGAAGCTGATAATTTCCTGCTAAATATGGTTTTTTTGGGAAAAAAACATAAAAAAATTAAAAATTAGTACTTCATACAGGGAGCCTGCTTCTCCCTCTCCCTTTGTCCCACCCCCTCACTGTTCTCTCT